TATATATATATATATATATATATATATATATATATATATATATATATATATATACGTTATCAGTATAGTTTTTAAAGCATGTTTTCCACAAAAATCGCCCTAGAGGGTTTTTATTTTTCTTTCTGCATCGTTTGAGATCTTATAGTCTCATTTAAACAAGTAGATACATTGTTGATGACTAAAAAAATAAAAATAAATAGTTGTTGCACTTGTTGTTTGAGCTACAACAAATCATGTGTGGACTATAAAAGTTGTAATAGTATGTTTAGAGTACAATATAAGTGTAAAACATAATACGTTTCATGTTTTATTAATAAAAAAATTTTTTAAATTAAATATTACATAGTAATTAATAATCTTGTGGCTTCTAATCTTATGCTGGAAGGGGACCATAGATGTATGTATACCTAGGCCGTGGGTTCGCAACGCCTCCTATTGTCTATAAGCGTCTGTACATCAATAACAAGTATAGCATTCTTTCGATAAAACCTCTGTCTCTTTCTGACGAAGGCTGTTTTATTTCCATCACTTGTCGTGGTCTTGTGGCGGGAATAAAGCTTTTGTTAGAAAGAGATAGACTTTTTACCGAAAGAATGCTATTTCTTTATATTGTTTGACGCGTTCAGACAATGGGAAACGTTGCGAATCCGCGGCCTAAATATTATACAGTCTGTTTGATAAGAGCGTGTTCGGCAAAACTTTTACATATAAACGGGTAGATGGGAAATTCAAACAGAAGTTGGTAGAGGCACCTTTTGCCTAAGATGTTTTGTTGATAAAACTTTAGTTGTCATTCAATCTTCGTGATAAAAATATATATTTCGCCATCAGTACGAAATACACATCGCGTTTCGAAGCCATGTTTCTTTGTACACATCCGAAAGGACTAAAAATGTCACGCCAAGCGGCTGCTAAATACATGAGAATGTCAAAAGAATTTGTAAATAAGTGGGTGAATCACTACTTAGAGGTGAAAAATGTCGATAACTTACCGAAACGTGGTTTTATGCAAGGATGTGGCACTTTGCATATTTTCACAAACAACTTAAACTTTAGAAAAATAGTGAAAATTTATGAGAAGGCTTCATTATTAATCGCTCAAACATGGTTTATAAGGAAAAATGGATATTACAAGAAGAAAATGATCCTAAACATCGAAGTAGCCTTTGTACCGCGTGGAAATAAGAAAATAATATTGAATTACTGGATTAGTTGACACAGTCACAGGATGCAAATCCTATTAAAAACGTTTGGTCCTTGATAAAGTTTAAACTTTGTGGAAAGAAAATTTGGTCGGTCAAGGAGTTAGTTCGACAAATTCAATTGTATGGAAATCTTTACCTCAGGAATATGTCATAAAATTAATTGTAAGTATGCCTCAAAGATGCCAGGGAATTATTAATAATGAAGGCGACTGGACAAGTTATTAATAATAAAACATCACAGTTCTAATCAAGTAGTATGTGTGTATTTTATTCAAAATCATTTAAATAAATTATTTATCAAGTTTTGCCGTACACTCTTATCAAATAGTCTGTACATCTATGGTCCCTTCCCAGCATAAGATTAGGAGCCAAGAGATTATTCATTATTATGTAATATTTAATTAAAAAGTTTTTTTATTAATAAAAACATGAAAGGTATCATGTTTTACACTTATATTGTCCTCTAATTATAATTCTAAATATTATTGCAACTTTTATAGTTTATACATGATTTGTTGTAGCTCAAGCAATAAATGCAATAATTATTTATATTTATTTTTTAGTCATCAACAATTTATTTAATTGTTTAAATGAGACTCTAAGATCTCAAACGATAGAAAGAGAAAAGTCCTCTAATCGCCTCTAGGGCGATTTTTATGGAAAGGATGTTTTAAAAATCATATTGTTAATGTCAGACAGTTTAATACAAGGTTCTCCAATGTTTAACGACCCGGTGGCACTGGTTTTCGTTATCCGATCGAATTAAAACTTGATAAGAATTATTTTTTTATCAAACTTTTTGGAGGGTGCAGCGGAAAAAATTCTAAAAAAAAGTTTGATCAAGAATAAATAAAGACCAACCTAATATATGTATTAAGTGGTTGCATATGAAACCGCCCATTTTTGAGCGAAAGGAAAGACAGTAGTTTGGTAGCAAATCGACGATCTGGTTTATTCAAAGTATTGCCCATCGGAACATACAATCTTGGCTTATCTTTCGGCCAACAATTGGATTACACACAGAAAGAATTCAGGTTCTTTGGAGGTAATCCAGTCATCCAGCCATTTTTTGACTCCTTCGTACGAGGTGAAGTGCAGTGCCGTAAGCGTCGACTGCATCGATTATGGGGAATATGGCGGGTGGGGTAGGATTTCTCAGTTCACTCCTTCTAAATATTTCTTGACTGGTTGAGCAACGTGCGGCCTAGCGTTGTCGCGCTGCAAAACCAACTTGTCATGGCGATTCTCCCATTCCGGTCTCTTCTCGTGCAGAGCTCGCTTCAAATGGATCAGATGCAGTCGATAACGATCTCCAGTGATGGTTTCTGATGGTTTCAGCAGCTCGTAATATACGACACCCTTCTGATCCCACCAGATACAGAGCATGACCTTACTGGCGTAGATGTTTCTCTTTGAGGTCTGCGGACCTGGTTCCCCGGGACGTATCCATGTTGCTTTTCGCTTCGAATTGTCAAAATAGAGAGAGATCCATTTCTCATCTCCAGTCACGATTCGATGGAGAAAACTCTTTCATTGTTGTCGTTCAAGCAGCAGTTCACAAATATTCTTCCAGCGTTCAATGTCCTTTCAATATGTGGGGTAATTTTCTTACTTGTGAACCTGTCCCAGCGTCTGTAGTCGTCTGGAAACTGTTGATTTGTCCACATTTCAAGCTTCGACCAATTGTACCAGCGTTTGACTCGAATCTTCGTCAAATAATGTGTCCAATTCCGTGTCCTCAAAAATTTTTGGTGGTTTTCCGCGCTCCTTTTTGTCCACAGAGAAATTACCACTTTGGAAGCGGCAAAACCACTCTTTGTACTCGATGGAGCATGTTTGGCATACATTTCTTCTAGCAAACAATGCGATTTCCACGGGCAATTTTTTGGCCAGAAAATAATGGAGCATAACTTCCCACAAATGTAACTTATTTAGAACAAAACTTGCCATTGTAAACACAATCAAAATAGATGATATTAACGCGTTGCACAAATGTCACCTATGGCGTTTTGGCGGGACTCTATAGACTTGTCATCATGTGTATTTCCATTCGAAGAAATAATGTACCTAATGCCATTTATTGTCAACGGGCGGTTTCATATGCAACCATCTAATATATATATATATATATATATATATATATATATATATATATATATATATATATATATATATATATAT